GTGGATTTGAAGTTCCAAGGCATTGTGTCATGAAACATAACTAAAGAATTTAATCTCAAACAATGCTTATTGTTATTGGACCACTATTTATTTATATTATGTTTTGGTAAAATCTTGTAGATTAGTGAAAACATAAGAAAATGAAACCGAGAGAGAGATTGATATTATAAACGAGCAGCAAATGAAGTTCTTATATCACCAATGCTTTCAAGCTGCTTCTTGCCGACGAGTGTTCCACAGAAAACTTCTTGTTTATCATCTTTGAGCTCGAGGCAACGTCCACGCTCCAATTCCTCAAGCCAAAGCAAAGTATTTGGATCAATAGAGCAGGCAATATCGTCAACAAGGACCTTTTGAAAGGATGGTAAGTTATCATGTTCCGGAGACAAGGCGTGGCACTGGAACTTCCAAGTAGACTCATCATCATCCAAATTCGCCATGTACTGCCTGACCCTCTCGAGATGAGCCAACCAAGGATTGCATCTCTTTGCAACAGCACACATAGACGCAAGAGCAGCCAATAAAAGGGACTTTAACTGGCCCAGCGAAACACAACCATCATCCTTATCCAGTAGCTGCACATACTTGCTGGAGATACTGACTACCATCTCCCTTGCAGAGAAGAGTTCATCTAGACACCTTCCGTACAAGGGATCAACTTGATTGAGGACAGGAAACTCGTCCAGAACCTTAGAGAACATGTCTGAAAAGCTGTACTCTGCAGACATGATCGTGGACTCATAGGACCAACTGATGTCTCTGATATCAGTGTTATCACAGACAAGTTCTGGTTTCCGAAGCTCCGGGAGAGAAAGGATGGCTTCAACAAAATCATTTTCATTTGGAACCACACTACTACTTATCTTCTTGAATTTTTTCTCCTTCCCCATCTCTTCACAAGTACCTTGAAATGATCTTGAACAAAAGAACCTTAAAAAATTAAAGACCAGTCACATACCACATCACAAGAACCTTAAACAAAGACCACAATTTAGAGTTAAGATTTCCAAATCTAACGATTTACGATTGTATCTAGACCAAATATAGGTTAAGTTTCTACAACAGAAAGTTTTCTCGGAGGCCGACACAAACCTAGCTTCGAAAAGAAACTACCACTTGGAAATAGAACTACACGTAAATAAACCAAAACAGCTTACTAGTACCAGACGAGGAGGATCGAAGAAGCTTGCTTGGACTTGAGAATCACTAATGAAGATTTTTCCAGAGGATGAGGGAGGCAGCTCGTAACCCTAGGAAATATTACTCTATATATTCCACAATTTATTCACATTAAAATCATTTATTGCTCATATCTTTTTCCCAAATACGTTGTTTGTTTGTGTCACAAGTTAGGTTTAGAAACTATTGTCAAATACGACAACCTTTTGTCGTTTGCAAACTAACAAAAAAATTCATAGCTCTTTTAAAACAATATAGATTTTGTTTTTGATATAATCTCAAGATTGAATCAAACTTTTTTCAAAGATCAAAACCAAAAACAATATATTGCGAGGGGACAACAATTTAAGGAGAAAGAGTTATTTTTGTCATATTTGTAAAACTAGTAAACTATACATGGACATGACCATTAGAAAATAAGGTTACTCACTTAACTTAAGTTGTTTTTAGGGTTATTTGACCTAATTTTTCTTTAAAAAAAAATCAAAATTATTTGTATATCAAGGAGAACAAAAATAATCATATAAAGATCTAAAATCACATCCTGCTAATGGCAACAGCCAGCTCATGCTCCTTGTTTTCATCATCTTTAACCCTGAGGCCATGCTCCCGTTCCAATTCCTCGAGCCAAAGCAAAGTATCAGGATCAACAAGGTCGGCAATATTCCAAAGAAAAGCAGAATGAGGGAGTGCGTAGTCTAGCGGAGGCAAGGCGCCGTACTTATTCTTACAAGTAGCAGCAATATTCCCATCATCATCTTCCAAATTCTTAGGGAGGCTTAACATGTACTCCCTGACCATATCGAGATATGCCAAAGCACGAACGCATCTCTTTGCAACAGTGAACAACCGCGCAAGAGCAGCCAGTTTTAGGCGGTTGCACTTGTCTATTGAGTCACAATCATCCTTCTTCAGTAGCTTCTCATACTCCAAGGAGATGCTTTGTAGCATCAACCTTGCAGTAGAGATTTGAGCTAGAGAACGCTGGTAGTGACCAATATCGAAATGCTGACGAAGAAGCTCAGTGCGCAAGGGATCAACAAGAGAGAGGCAAGGAAACTCCATGGCAACTTTAGAGAACTTGTCAAATAGCCTATCCTCTGCGTCACGTACCTTCACCGCGTACGCACGACGGAACATCCTGATCCGCTTGATCATGTAAGCGCTGCTGCAGACACGGGCTGGTCCCTTATTAATCCCGAGAGAGACGATGGCATCAACAAAATCATTCTCATTTGGAACCACACTTATCTTCTCGAACATGTTTTCCTTCTCCATTCCTGCTTATCTATCTCTGCACAAGTAGTCAATGTGTAATATGGTAAAGGAGAGATAAAAAGAGCAATCAATCAACTCATGTCCATATAGTGTGACATAATCTATATCACAAGGACCTCAAAAAAAGACATTATCATATCATAATTACCAAATCTTTGCTCCTCAAATAAAGTTATTATCATTATCAACTACACAAAGGCCCGAAATTTAGGGTTTTGGTTTTCAATCGAAGACTTAACGATTGTATCCCGGCAAAAATCTAGGTTACGTTTCTACAACAGAACGTTTTCACCAACTATTTACTCTGGGGCCGACACAAACCCAGCTTCGAAAAGAAACCAACACTTGGAAAGAGAATTACG